ACTGTCGAGCATTAAGTACAATTTTGTTTGTTTGTTTGTTTGTTTGTTGTTCAACGCAACACTATGCAATATTACAGCTCTATGATGGCGGTCTGTAAATAATGGAGTCTGGACCAGACAATCCAGTAATTAATATCATGAGTATCAACTGAGATACGATGACATGTATCAACAAAGTCAGCGAGTCTGACCACCCGATCCTGTTAGTTGTCTCTTATGACAAGCATAGTAGCCTTTTACAGCAAGCATGGGTTGCTGAAGACTTATTATGTACTGTCACCTGATAATATGTTAGTTAGTAGCCTCTTACAACAAGCATAGTCGCCTTTTACAGCAAGCATGGGTTGCTGAAGACTTATTCTGCACTGTCACCTGATAACATGTTAGTTAGTCGCCTCTTACAACAAGGGTAAGGGTGCACTACCTGGTAAGGATATATACAATCTACAAGATCTGCAGAAAAACATTTCTTTCCATGATCAAATCCTTGAGAAAAGCTAAGGCAGTGGTGTGGTGACAGTGAGCTATTGTCCGCGCCCTGTTAGACTCCCGGGGACGTGGAATGTTCCGATCTATCTATATCACAGCAGGCAAACAATGCCTCATGATTGTAATTTACACCTGAATGGACACTAATTAACGCTGTTGACAGAGCACGTAGGTAAACATGTTTGACATACCTTTGCTTGTAACTAACTGAGAAATCCATAGACACTGTGATATATAATGTTAACACTCCAAACATATGATAATACAAGAGATATGCTATATTCCCCTTGTTTAAATTGTCAGAAAGACAAGCATTACTAAATATTCATATTTTACGAAATTGTTATAAAAAATATACTGATGGTCTACCAACTTAATCAGGGCTGTGTATATTAATGAACTTTTGCTTTTGATAAGCAAAGGTTCACCGGTACCTGTATGTTTCTTTGTTGTGAAACACCCAAATCAGCAGTATTCACCTATAACAAGCTATAAGTAATGAAGTCTGGAGCAGACAAACCAGTGATTAATATTAAGAGTAAAGTCCTATGCTTTTGGGTAAGTAAGTTAGTCAGTAATTATGGTTTTATGCCCCTTTTAGCAATATTCCAGCAATATCATGGTGGGGGACACCAGAAATGGGCTTCACACATGTTGCAGATCAAACCTGGGCCTTCAATGTGACAAGCGAAGGTTTTAACCACTTGGCTACCAAATGGCCCCTTAGCTCTTGGGGGGAAAAATTACCCTCAATCAACCAAGTCACTGGATCCATTTAGACACCTCATTATACAGCATGCATAGGCTGCTGGAGCCAGTCCTAACCTGGAATCCCCATGTGGACCTTATAATGAAATACCCTCTTCCATCAAATGCACTACAAAGTGAGTGAGTGAATGTTGTTCTATGCCTAAGATCATGGTCTTTATTGAACCAAGTCTTAATCAGGAAAACCAGTACATTTATCAAAGGTTTCATACAATAAACAAAGTATTTTAATAAAAAAATATCCTCTTTGAGTGTGCCTCCAGGGCATTATTTTAGCCATGACATTGTGATTTTAACACACCAGTGACAATCAAATGCAAGGAATTTTGAGCCCTGTTCTCAAAGTCAACAAACAAGGCAATATGAAACTGATTTCCATATTCCGAACGAAACGTCCCATTTACACAACCTGACCTTACACGATCCGATAAATGCCTTCAGAACAAGGTGCATGAATCATTAATACATATACCACGTCTTCATGGCAACTAATGATATTTGAAATATATAGCCAACATCTACTGTTATTGATACAAGTCGATGCTAAATATTAGGGCTGCAACGAATACGCTATGAGGTGAATGCACTAGTGAATCGTAACAGCCCTACTAAACACTATCTCTCAAATAATGGACAGAGTAATCAGTGCAATAAACCAACTGATACATTTAGTATCACGATCTGATAAAAATGTAAATGAGGTCCCGAACCAGGAACTACTTTCAAGCACTATCAATGCACTTTTTGCTTTCTCAATAGTCTATTGAGAAAATTCCCAAAACTTTAAGATATGTGTTTCATAGTGTTGTGGTTGTTTTTGTAGACAACCCTGGCTGCAATTATTTGTCACTATATAATAAATAGAGGATTCATCACGAGTGTTTTTTAATATGGGAAATATCAACCGAGTCTTAGTTAATCGGTATTTGCCGAGCCTTTGGCGAGGCAAATACCGATTAACGGGACGAGGTTGATATTTCCCATATTAAAAAACACTCGTGATGAATTCTATTTATCATTTTCACATTTTTGCTTCCAAATTAAGGAATAATTGCATTAAACATTAACATCAGCAACTTGTCGAAATCTTACGTATAGATCGTGCGTAGTGATACATGTTTTCCATAGCCATGTAAACCAAAATAAACAATTCGCTGAGAAAAAAAGTTCCTCGGATTATTTTAAACAAAATACTTGAACAGACTTTTGCAGAATAATTGAAACTTTAATAACGGTAACAACAACGATTCTGTGTAATCTGATTATATCTCTGGTGTAACTTCACTTATAATATATAGTTTCAAATCAAACTGCTCGCTCTTCCGGTTATCTAATTTGCATATCTAATTTGCATACTTATGTCATTGGGGTATGACATACATGTTTTTATGTCATAAGCTTATGTCATGGATAAATGCTTAAGTTTAATGATAAATAGGGCTATTCACTCAAACACTGTAAATTCCCCACATGTTATTAGGTGACGGGTAAGATGAGACCCGTGAAGATCCGGGATAGAATAGGTCTTCAGCAACCCATGCTTGCTGTGAAAGGTGACTATGCTTGTCGTAAGAGGCGACTAACGGGATCTGGTGGTCAGGCTCGCTGACTTGGTTGATGCATGTCATCGTATCCAAGTTGCGTGGATCGATGCTCATGATGTCTATCACTGGACTGTCTGGTCCAGACTCGATTATTTACAGACCGCCACCACGTAGCTAGAATATTGCTTAGTGTGGCTTTAAACAAACAAACAAACATGTTATCAGTTATAGGTCAAATGGGAATATTGGTTGAGACATTACACAAACTGAAAATGATGAGTAGGTATATTAGGATTTGCTAGGATTTGATTGTTTTTTTTGCATATTACAGCTGATATTACGGTAAATACTGCATCAAATGTCAAGGTCAGAAACCGACTTCTGGCCTCCAAGTGGCCTACTTCACAAGCTTGATTAGACTGCATGTTGGGTAATAAGTGTAGCACACTCGACACTCGTAATGATGGATTTATTTAGATTAATGCTGCAAGTTACTTGCAACGGCTTTTGACTTATGTAACAATATTTCACCTTGGGAATAATAATCCTTAATTCATTCCTGTAAGTTGTATGTTATTCTCTCAATCTCAGGTATATAAAATATAGAATCATTTCACCCATATAGAATATATTCAAAACTGAAAAAGTTCTGATATCTATGTGGCAGCCATAAAATTCTCGAGTCCTGTGATGGGATTCGAACCACAAACAACCTGATCCGAGGTCAGGCACCTTGTCCACATGGCCAAACAGGTTAACCCAATCAACAAGTTGACAAGCTACGGATGTCATCTGCCCTGCTGCATCTACAAGTCACAGCATTTCACTGTGCAAAGTAGCCTCCCTTAGCCATGTCAGGATCCACTTGTTTGAATTCAAAAATTGACCTAATTTTCAACCTTGGTCAATCAACATCATCCGTCCCTTACAGAACTCTCAGTCAAGGCCAAGTATGGTCCCGAACTGCCCGTACAGAGTTCTGTTCCTTGGATGCAAAGATCTTTTCATCATGGGTTCAAAAATTGGGCCCATTCATGACCCTTTGTCTGACAGCTTCATGCCTGGGTCTCAGCCTGTATAATTTTTGGCTTTCCTTAAATACTCTAAGCCACCACCTTTCCCAAATTACAATTGGTATTTTGTTACAGTTTTCTCATCAGAACACCAAAGGAAGACAATATGAATCATCTACAATACAATACAGCCATGTGATTCAAAAGCTTGTTTACTTTCAAAATCGACTACAGCAACTTCTGATACTACGAGAGGAGAATCTTAATTGGACAGATGCAACACTATAAATAGATTTCATCAGTGTAACTTTAGTCCTTGTGATTTTTCCCCCGTTGATTGGTATGTTAATTGCATGAATTTGGGAAGAAATTGTATTTTTAGTTGCACATTCGTTACAAATACGAAATACTCGGGACAATGTGCAGCAATGCATACTGTGATAATTTGGGCTGGGACGATACACCAACTCTGCGATCCGATACTTATCACTATACCTTGCTCGCGATCTGATACCTATCACGATACTTGTATGTGCACTTTTCTGTGGTGCGTGAGCCATGTTTTTCATAGACAGGATGGACAAAAGGCACACTAACGATTTACAGCTGTCAGTGTCAAGTATGGTGCAATGGATGAAAATATTTACATTTTCCCTTCTCATTTTGACTAGTAATTAGTGTTTAGTGTAACATTTATTAAAGAATACATTTAAGGAAAGAATCGATACTTTTTACTTGTGTGCGATTGTGATCAATACTTGTAATGAGAAGTAAAAAATCGCAATCCTCTAACGCATCGGTGTATCGTTCCACTACAAGTGATATCACAACTGAATAGCAATAAACCCAACGCAATGACACTTCACACAAACATGAGTGAGTGAGTGAGTTGGGTTTAACGCCGCTTTTAACAGTATTCCAGTTATATCACAGCGTGTCAGCTTAATGTGGGAGGAAAGCCTGAAGTGATGCAGGTCTCTGACCTTTACCACTTCGGTGAAACCCATGAGCACAGGTATGGTGCTGACAAACCTAGAAACATAATCAGGGCGAAACGGGATTCGAACCCACAATCATAGGTTTCTGGCATGCCCAAGGGACACAACTCTGCACAGTGAATCGCGTCACCTTAGATGACTGGGCCAAACGTGCCCCCCACACAAACATGAAGCATTTCGATACTGACCTTCCAGAGTACAAACTTGAGCAGGGCGTTTATTTCTGGGTCATATGCTGTCAAAAAGCTGCTCTGAAAAACAAGCAAACGAATGTTGCATTGAATCTAAAAAGTTTCAAGTTGTCTTTACAAGTTACCTTGTCCCTGGGTTTGAATGCCAGGTTCGACCTTATTTCAATTCTTGGTTTATCAGCAATATACCTGTCCTTGAGGGGTTCCATATTCCCGAGGCAAGCGTGTTAACTGACCGAATGTGAAGTTTCCACCCTTGCCAAACTAGACTGGAATTCCGGAGTAACATTTTGGCTAGACTGACGAGTCTATGCATAGTCCAATCAAAATCACACAACAAACTAAACATCAAGTTTCTAAAGAACATGGATTTCCACATGGAGATTTCCGTTGACTGCAGGATTTGCAAAGAATGTGTTCTGTCAACAGGGCATCGACAGATATTTTCCAAATGTTATCATGTTTGTAACCAAGGTTCTCAAATGATTTAGTGTACTTCACAGGGTAAGAACCGTTATATGACAATATAGATCTTGATTATCGATCAGATCATTTTGACTGGGCGCAGCCATTTTGTTTGAGACAAATGCAAGTGATGTCAGAGGTGGAATCTGATTGGTCAATAGGAGGGACATAAAAGGGACATAACTCATAATAGTCACTTGTGGCGCTATGATCAAGCTACGAAATTCCAGCGTAGTTCGGCAAGGGTGGAAACTGGACTTTAGCAGGAAGCAAAGTAAGTGCAAATTTTAAGATAAAACAAAACAAACAAATAGGTCAGGCCTAAAAAATTAAAAAATCAGACCAAGCTCCTGAAAAAATACCCCGCTGTTTACACCGGGTAATGTCAAAACATTACAGACTAGTTATCATCATTGATTACAGATTAACTGAACAAAAATTAAAATAGTTTTGAAAACCTGACAATTATTTACTGCTATTGTTTGAACAAAGAGTCAATGTGAATACTACCGACACAAAGACAAGCTGTTTTATTCAAGTTTTCATATCAAGATATCCCCAAACACCAGCAGGGATTTCTTATCTATCAATCAATGAAATCAATACTGTTTGATTTATATTGATCTGCCTGTATCACCCCCAGGGTTACCAAGAACAGGGAAATGAGTTCACGAAGGGGGCATGTCAAAAGATTTTATAGTATTAAAATATGTTTCACGGTTAATCATTCAGGGTTAGTGCTGTTCTTTCAAGTCCTTTATTTATTTTTATTATTAAACCTGGCAACAACTTGTCTCCTGTTTCAAAGAAGGTCACATGTGAACAAGACTTCTTGCTATTAGTAGGTGGAAAATGATTAATGAACTTTTTGAAACTGTCCCTTATCTAAATGAATATGCACAGACATGCAACAAGTAATGGCTCCACGTAGTATAAGTACAATTGGGACTTGTGTGATATTGAAAATGTGCATGCTGGTACAAAATCCCTTATTCCATGCCGGTTAATCTTATTTCAAGCAGTTTTATCTAGTATCAAATGATTTGGTGTACTTCACAGGGTAAGACCTGTTTTATTACATTATAGATCTTGATTATCGATCAGAACATCTCGACTGGGCGCCAACATTTTGTTTGAAGCAAATGCAAGTGATATGACAGATGGTGAGTGAGTGAGTTGGGTTTAACGCCGCTTTTAACAGTATTCCAGTTATATTGCGGCGTTATATGACAGATGGAATCTGATTGGTCAGTAGGAGGGACATAGGAGGGACATATCTCGTAATAGCCTCTAGCCACAACCATCGAGCCCATAAATTCCAGCTTAGTTCGGCAAGGGTGAAAACTGGAATTTAATAGTCAGTTAACGCCCTTCCCTCAAGAGGATGTGCTCATGATGTCAATCCCTTGATTCGATTATTAACAGGCTGCCGCCATTTAGCTGGAATATTACTGAGTGTGGCGTTAAACAACAAATAAACTTGTACACTATGTCCATAGAATTCTCCGGTTGAACAGGTCCTGATTAATCTCGTGCCGATTGTAAGAATGGACTTACGTGGATCAAGTGGTCAGGCTCTGTGACCTTGTACCCCTTGGGTATTGATCCATGCATGTGTGTTCAGCATTGTTCAGTCAATGGTTGGCCTCGTAAAGGATTTTACATGCTGCAACTATGTAGATGCAATATCGCTTACTGCAGAATGTTTCCGGTTTCATTCACTCATTCACACACTTTTGTGAGTTTATCACACATGTTTGACATAAGAGTTTATTCATCATGTTTATTCATACATGCTTGACATGGAGTTTATCCACCATGTTTATTCATACATGCTTGACATGGAGTTTATCCACCATGTTTATTCATATATGCTTGACATGAAGTTTATTCATGTTTATTCATACATGCTTGACATGGATTTTACCCACCATGTTTATTCATACATGCTTGACATGGAGTTTATTTATGTTTATTCATATATGCTTGACATGGAGTTTATCCACCATGTTTATTCATACATGCTTGACATGGAGTTTATTTATGTTTATTCATATATGCTTGACATGGAGTTTATCCACCATGTTTATTCATACATGCTTGACATGGAGTTTACCCATCATGTTTATTCATACATGCTTGACATGGAATTTATCCACCATGTTTATTCATACATGCTTGACATGGAGTTTATTCATGTTTATTGATATATGCTTGACATGGAGTTTACCAACCATGTGTATTCATACATGCTTGACATGGAGTTTATCCACCATGTTTATTCATACATGCTTGACATGGAGTTTATCCACCATGTTTATTCATATATGCTTGACATGAAGTTTATTCATGTTTATTCATACATGCTTGACATGGAGTTTACCCACCATGTTTATTCATACATGCTTGACATGGAGTTTATTTATGTTTATTCATATATGCTTGACATGGAGTTTATCCACCATGTTTATTCATACATGCTTGACATGGAGTTTATTTATGTTTATTCATATATGCTTGACATGGAGTTTATCCACCATGTTTATTCATACATGCTTGACATGGAGTTTACCCATCATGATTATTCATACATGCTTGACATGGAATTTATCCACCATGTTTATTCATACATGCTTGACATGGAGTTTATTCATGTTTATTCATATATGCTTGACATGGAGTTTACCAACCATGTGTATTCATACATGCTTGACATGGAGTTTATCCACCATGTTTATTCATACATGCTTGACATGGAATTTATCCACCATGTTTATTAATACATGCTTGACATGGAGTTTATTCATGTTTATTCATATATGCTTGACATGGAGTTTACCAACCATGTGTATTCATACATGCTTGACATGGAGTTTATCCACCATGTTTATTCATACATGCTTGACATGGAATTTATCCACCATGTTTATTCATACATGCTTGACATGGAATTTATTCATGTTTATTCATATATGCTTGACATGGAGTTTACCAACCATGTGTATTCATACATGCTTGACATGGAGTTTATCCACCATGTTTATTCATACATGCTTGACATGGAATTTATCCACCATGTTTTTTCATACATGCTTGACATCGAGTTTATTCATGTTTATTCATACATGCTTGACATCGAGTTTATCCATTGTGTTTATTCATACATGCTTGACATGGAGTTTATTCACCTTGTTTATTCATACATAGTGACATGGTGTTTATCCATCATGTTTATTCATACATGCTTGACATGGAGTTTATTCATGTTTATTCATATATGCTTGACATGGAGTTTATCCACCATGTGTATTCATACATGCTTGACATGGAGTTTACCCACCATGTTTATTCATACATGCTTGACATGGAGTTTATCACTCATTCATACATGCTTGACATGGAGTTTACCCATCATGTTCATTCAAACATGCTTGACATGGGATCATATCTATCATGTTTATCCATACATGTTTATTATAGGGGATGAGGGTTTTCGGTGGGATTTTGCTGACATTTCATGTAAATTTTCTTTTCCATTAAAAATTAGTAAATCCATCATGTATATTCATATATGCTTGAAATGTCGTGGATATATTTCTGTTGAAAACAAATTGTCTCCCTTTAAATAGGACACCATACATGCCGCTGTTGTTGCTGCCTAAGTCTAACCCTGTCAGTCTGCCCATACAAATGCAGAACAGTGCAATTTCTAGAAACATTATTTGTGTGCGACCAAAAGTTTGGTTGGGATGACTGTGATTTTAGCATGAGTTGTGCCCCTTGATATTAACATAAACCCAGAAACCAATCTCATTAAATTCAGATCTTAGTTCTTACTATCGTCAGAGCGATCTTTCATCCAACCAATCAGAACGTCACTAACTAGATCAGGAAAGTATGTACTAATCATGCACCCTCAAAAAGGTTAAAATGGGGTTTTCCTAACAACAGTTACAGGGTTTATAACTGAATCTGTCAAAATCATCCTCCATGTCTCACTTCTGTGGGGACCGTGAAGATCCGGGGTAGAATAGGTCTTCAGCAACCCATGCTTGCCGTAAAAGGCGACTATGCTTCTCATAAAAGGCGACTACCGGGATCGGGTGGTCAGGCTTGCTGACTTGGTTGATGCATGCCATTGTATCTCAATTGCGTGGGTCAATGCTCATGATGTCAATCACTGGATTGTTTGGTCCAGACACGATTATTTACAGACCGCCGTCATATAGCTGGAATTGCTGCGTTAAACAACAAACAAACAAACAACTTCTGTGGGTTAAACGTTTGAATGGAACAAAGTTTGCATTGACTGTAGGAAGTACTATCATACAATCTAGGCAATCTATCAGACATTCCAGAATATTCTTTTGTCTTTAAGATCTTTGTCATAATATATTTAAAAGCGTAGACTGGAATGGAAGTTGCCAGTTTGAAACCAGTGTTGTATAGTTCGAGAAAACTGCTTCCTGATTGGCTAATGTTGACTTCTTGTTAGTCATTTAATTGGTCAGTCAAAGTTTGTGAAAGGCCGTTCTCAGCTGTAATGGGATGTCCTCAGATCTCTGTTTTGTGGTAGTGAGAAATAAGTTCTGATTTTAATGCGATTGCCCAGAAACATAATCAGTGAGAGACTGGGATTCAAACCTCCAATCATAGGTTTCTGGCATACCTTAGGGACGCAACTCTCAACAGCTGATTTTCTTTGAGGTTTTGAGATTTAATTGGGAAAATAGAAAAATCTTGCCGTACCAGTTATGGTCAATTAGAAATAACTTCAATTTGACACCTGTGTGTTCTGTATTGTTTCTATTGCCAAGTATTAAAAAATGTTCATGTTCATTTCAGCATTTCAGCTGATGTCAGATAATTTGTTTATATTTATCAAAATGTTTTTACTGTCAGGGGAAATATTGAAACCACATTAGTGTCCTTTTCCCAAATTAAGATTCTAAGATCAGCAGATCTGCAAATCAAGTAAAACTTATTCATGTTAAGGCTTAAAAAAAAAAAAAAATTGGTTCTCAGTCACTGAGGCACTCCATGGCTTTTGAAATTATTGCGCAGGCTGGCGGTGTTGTTTTGTGGTTGATTTTTTTCTTCTTTTTATTTTGGGGTGGATGGGGGTGGGGGGTGTTCAAGGTAGTATTTAACCAAATTTTGTTTACAACAATATCGGGGGAAATCATGTTGTTCTTAATAGGTATTGAAGCATTTAACTACCTGTGTCATGTGTTCGAGGAGCAGAACATTTAAAGCAATTTTGTTTGTTTGGAAAATGGAAATAAAAATGAAACGTGCGGCAGACTTTATGATGATGCAGGAGGTGCCTGAGAACCAAGACTATTTTTTGTTTTAGCCTTATGTTTTATCTGTAGTGTCAGTGTGGTTATGTTCGTTACTCACGTGAGTGCTACACTTTCAAATTAGTGCTGCAGGCTGAGGGATTGTGAAGGACTAGACTAGCATTGCAAACTAGAAGCTAGGCTAGGTACTTTATAAGCGATCACACAAAACAAGAGTTTGTTTAAATTGACATTACCACCCAAATTATACAGATGCAAACAAATCTAAACCTGAGCTCATTCGCATTAGTCAGTTTTCATCTTATTTTTTAAGCTACATGTGCCATTGCCAATCAGTAACAAATTTGGCACAGATCAAAAAGGGCAGGGCGTTGATCAGAAAGGGGATCGTCAAGAGCTATAAAGGTAGTGTTAGAAGTAATGATTGTAGGTCATACCAGTTTAGTTGGACTCACTGACTCAGGCATTTAGTGCTAGTGCTACAAGCCTGCTCAGATTGTGAGCGTTAAATTGCAGTCTTGCTCCAGGGACTTCTAGTTTAACTAGGTTTAACTGTATTTTGAGGATGTAAAACGATCCTATAACAGCTGAATAAATGTGATCCCCATACCTGGTGGTATTTAAAAATTTTGTTGAGCTGTGTCTTGGTCAGTTGTACTACTTCCTGATCTAACTCAGCAGCATCCAGCTGAAACAGACAGAAAAAATATTGTTGTGATGTAAAACTGAAACGAAAACAGGTTCGCCAGATTAGTCAAAATAATCTACTCGTAAAAAGTAGTTTCACTACAATTATGCCACTGTTAATACAGCATACTTGCCTACTTTGGGGGAGATGGGCTGAGTAAGTTTAAACTCATGTCATGTATGTCACGTTTGAACAATAATCTGGAAAGACATTTGATTATGGGATCCGAAAGCGACAGTAAGCAAATGCTAACCAAACTGGAATCTATACATAAAAACTATCTTAATGTACTCTCTAATGCTCAAGCTTTCTTCTGATGACAATATCAATAACTGTCAAGGCAAAATCGGAATGAAACATCAACTTACTTGGCTTACTCTTAGTGCTGGAACACGCCCATCCACGTTTTCCGCCATTTTGTTTGTTTATGGGTGATGATCTGTAACAAGCCCTGTGATTGGTGAATAAACCAGGCTTTGTGTATAAGCTATTATCATTGGATAAAACAACTTTTATTTTCAATACAACTAATGCTGTTCTGATTTTTACCGGATTCAGACAACAAACCTCAACTCATTAGCCAGGATACGTTCTGCATGATTGACATCGACACAAGATTATTTGTTTATATAGAAATTGACCCCGTAGCCTTCGCGTGACGAAAGTGGCTGCTAATCGCATTTTATTTTGCTAATCCAACTGACGTGTTCATAATGTATGGTGGTTGTTAAGAGAATTGCATCTACCTAACGATATTGCGGTTAGCCAATAGAATGTTACTTTAGAAACATTGGGATTTTACACAGACCAATTATAACCTTTCTTTCATACTTCCTTAGACTGGCGGGGGATTAGAATGTAAACACAAGTTACGACTAGCTGTTAAGCCATGTATATAAATTGGATTTGATAAGACCAAAGCTATTTAAGGGTCTTGCGATCAGTCAACAGCACTCCGTCCGCTGCAGGCAAGGATTGTATTTTCGATAAGGTAAGGGCTGCGATCGAGTAAATGAATGTAGCAGGATAACTGATAGTGACAGTTGCACAAGATCTGTCAGTGTCAAATACTTTTGAAATGTATGAATATTGTTTGGGTGTGGATTTAATATTATTCATAAATAGTCATGCTCGGACCTTCATACAGATATGATATTCATGTCAAACTGGCAACTTTAAATTATTTTTTTGCATTATTTTTTACGCATTCTCCATTCATTATTTGTATGTAAGTTCAATATATTCAACTCGAGTTAGAGTCCCAGATGTGCTTTAGTGACATGTGCCCAAAAGCTTCAATCCTTAATGCTCGACAAGAATGGGAGCTTAGATCTACATGGGCAAGTGTTACAGAAATATATTAATTAGTGGGTAAACACCACCATTATTCAAAATATGTATTGACATATATTGACTATTCACACGAGTAAGGTGTGGTGTTATTCAGGAAGAAGCCCAAATCTAAACAAACTTGCAATATCCAAGAGTGGAGCCAAAAAATAGGAATACAAAGTGGCTGTACTGAGATAAGGCTACAACATGTCCCAACATAGGAAATTGAGTAACGATCACCACGATCACCACGATCACATCGAATTATTGCAATGATATTGCTTTCTTCATGTTATAAGTTATATGTGATATACACATATTTCCTTTTGAAATATTACAATCCAAGTGCTTCTAGTTGAATCCATTTTGCATGTTTTTGGCTATATTTACATAAACGACTGACTCTCAGATTTGCATTTCTATTCCTAGCATGCTTAGTCACGTCAGTTCAGCAGTACATTGCCACCAAAATGACATGTCAGCTTGACTTTACTGCAAACAAGCAGTGTCAGTAGTAGTGTTTATTTTTTCTTACCCTACCAACACAATCTTCTTCCAGCTGTAAGTTAACAGTGTAAGTTTTTATCAACCTTTCCTTACAAGTTATAAATGTTGTCAATCTATTAGATCAAAATGACTGACTGTAAACTAATGGCTCCTCTCGGAAACGTAATTTTTTTTTAAAAAGTTTATAATATTTCTTATGTGTGAATCTTTTGAGGACATAAGTGGTTTGTTACCATAATTGCTTGCAACTTTTATTGTCATATCATGGTACTGAGTAAAATGCAGCCTAATAAGATATGAACATGTAAAATCTTTTACACTTTACTGAGTAAAGAATAATAGCTGAGGCCTTTTTTAATTCATTTGTTGGTTTTCAGTTGGTTTTTGGTCGAAACCTTTGGTTGGTGGTAAAAGATGTATTTTCTTTTCACTGTTTTACACACTGTAAAAATAGTACCAAAATCAAACTTTTTTGATAGAAAGTATAGTTTGTTTGTTTGTTTATTGTTTGCTGTTTGCATTTTTGTTTCATCTTTATTCCAAGAGCTTTGTTTAGGAAATTAACCTTGGCTCAATCCAGACATTTTGGCAACATTTTCTGTAGCATATTTGACACATTCTGACCACAATTATTTCTTTAATATAATTCTTTTTAATATCTCTTTAAGCAATGTTAAGATGAAAACAATTATACTTCTTTCAAATGTTTTCAGATCAAGTATTGAATGACCTTTTGTTATAAACTAGAATATCACAATGTACCTAGTATTTTATATATCCTACCATACTGTATATCTCTTAAGACATCAGCTCAACAGGCCCGTGTTAACAGCAAAATGGACTTACCGTATTCTCCATAATTAGGGCCAATTTCTAGGCTAAAAATTTACACGACAGTCTGTATTTTATTGTGTATATTCCCAAAACAATTGCGTTAACCAGTTAACAGGGCATATAATTGCCAACTATTATTGAAAACAATTTAGTTTCATCGACGTTTGATTGGTTGGTTGTTTGTTTGTTGTTTAACGCCACACTCAGCAATATTCCAGCTATATGACAGCGGTCTGCAAATAATCAAGTCTGGACCAGACAATCTTGTGATTGACATCATGAGCATCAACCCACATAATTTGGATACTATGACATGTATCATCCAAGTCAGCGAGCCTGACCACCCGATACCGTTAGTCGTCTCTTACGACAAGCAGTCGCCTTTTACAGCGTTTGAACTAAGTTTGTTTAAATTTAACTTGCTGTGTATGGTTTTAATAATCTCCCCTCCCCTCCTCCCTTGGTCAATTTTCTAAGCACCCAGTGGGCTTATTAGAGCGATTATGGCACAATGTACTATCTATGTGTTTGTATAAGTACCCGTTTCAGTACTAAGCGTGTGCGGTCTAATGTTTACCTTGTATTGTGTGAAGAAATTGCTTGGTACCTGTCACTTGTTTGACGTGTTTGATTCCCAACTCAAGTAAAATGTCCGTTTCTGGTGTCCCATGCCATGATATTTCTGGAATATTGGTGTGGCACTTACCCTGCTCACAGTTGGAAAAAAAATCAGGCATATAGTTTCTGTGTCATGAATATGTTCAGCCCATATTTTCAGTCATACTGAACAAAATTGAATTCTTGGGAATTTATTCAGTTTAAATCATGTTTAAATATATTACTTTAAGCTGATTTGAATTTGAAGAATATACATGTTTTGACATCATGACTCCAAAAGTTGCTGAACCGGAAAATTTCAGGTCTTTGTGTAGGGACTGACTGAATGTTGTTTAACGCCTAAGTCAGCAATATTCCAGTGATGTCACAGCGGCCGGTGAACTTGGTAAATAATGGAGTCTTGACCAAACATTACTGAGACAAACAAGTGACTGACATCATGAACCACGGTCCACGACTAGCCTGACCGCCTGATCCTCATTATTTGTCTGTTACCATGGTTACAAAAGACGTGGGATTTCCTTGAATCCCCATAGGTTAGCGCCATGTGCGGCGCTGTATGTGGAAACACTGTATGTAAAACTGGCTTCCACGGGAGATATTGTTTGAGGGAGATTAATGAATTGCATCACAATGCTTTGCAGACCATTGTGATGTCATCAGTTACTATGATTTACTTCATATGACTAAAGGGGCAGGGGGGTAGCCTAGTGGTTAAAGCGTTGGCTCATCAGTCATCACACCAAAGACCAGGGTTCGATTCCCAAAATCGGTACAATGTGTGAAACCCATTTCTGTTGTCCCTCGTTGTGCCATTGCTGGAATATTGCTAACAGTGGCGTATAACAATACTCACTCACTTCATATGACTTCACTAATCTCTCTACCACTGAAGCTTGTTAGCCAGATTTTCTACACTCAAGACACTGGTTATAACTGTTTATAAATTGAAAAGGTTGGAAGATTGATTTTCGATAAAGAGAATCTCTCCCTCTTGTCTTTTGATATCGAATATATCAACACTTGTTGATAAAAGTTCTATACTCTGAGGCTTGCTGATTCATGTTGATATAGTTGATTGCAAAAGACACAAGGGCAGGGATAATTCTGGGATAGCCCCTTGGACTTTTGCCCCATAAATCATTTTCAAATGCAGTGGGGCTTTTTAACGTGGTGGGTGAGGTGAGGTGAAATAGGGTTTAAAGTCGCGTCCAAAATTATTGCACTTATATAGCGACGTGCATGTACGTGTGTGTGTTGCTGCTTGTACTAGTCCAGACTGATGCCGATTTATAGTGCTAGCTCACTGAGATACCATGCCGCAGTTTAACATGAATACCCCAGACACAGTATACTGACTCCGAGCCGACCAGTCCTTGTTTTAGCCCCTTAATGCCGAGCGCCAGGCAGGGTAACAACAAGTACCATCTTTTAACGTCTTTTGGTATGACGCGTCCGGGGATCGAACCCCGGACCTTCTGCTCTCCGGGTGGACGCTCTACCACTAGACCACGGAGGTGGTCTTTTAACATGGCATTATATAAGATTGTTCAAAATTTCACTTAACAGTGCTATTAAATGGCCCACAGAAAATTCCCAAAATGATCACTGCAAGGTTGAAATACAAATTTCAGTGGAAAATATCCAGAGGGCAATATTGCCACATGTGTTACAATTCTGTGACAAACTTATCTTTTTCTAAGAAACAAGCTCATTTCATAATGAAGGCATGTTTGGCATGATTTAGTGACTGTTTGAGGGCTCCATTAATGCTGAGGCTCAAATATTAATCCAGTCACTGATAACATACGAGTTCTGTCCAAACAGTGAGATTACTGTGTATATCAGTGTATATGTCAGTGTATATATACAGTCATTTGTCACTGTCAGACTGTCGGCAGTAGACTTCATAAACACACACAGATTCAACCAAACAACAGATTACATTGGTGCGTCCTGATTAACAGCCATGAAACTGTAGGCAGTAAGGAAGAGATGTTATTTTAGAGTACTATTTTATTATGGTAATTTTTATTATCCATTGAATACAAGCGTAAATATTCATGACAAAAAAACTTAGATTCAATTTACTGTATTCGACGTAATAAGCGCCCAGGGCGCTCTCAAAATTAGAAATAGGGAGCTCTTATTAGAATATTATTTTGCTGGAAAA